AATATTTGTGTAACGTCTTGAAGGTTCGTATCTCACTTTGAGAAAATACCAGGCTTATCTCATGCTTCGATGATAGAAAAACATAGTGCACAGTACACTCGAAGAAGGAGCACAAATAAAGAGCTATTCCGACACTGGGACGCGATTTCGATTAGAAAAACTGCCTGCCGAGTAGCACGACGTGCCTGTCGCCTATTCGACGACTTGATGTCGACTGAAAGCCTGAAAGGAGCTAGTGTCAGATGTCGTTGGAGGAACGTCTTTATTCCGATGCCTGTGCTGGATTCTCGTCTGATCACGACTGTTCTGTTCTCCTTTCTTCGCGTTTTGCATCGATTTGGTTCACGTGGCCCCTTCATTGGAGAGTGTCTATGATGTTTCTTGCCATTGGTGGTCGTGGTTTCGAGGAAGGGGGACCCTACGCGGAGGTAGTCTCCTGTCGTGTCTGTGCCTTGACTAGAGGTACCACAGATGGGACACTGGTCTCACGGCTATCAACTTGTGGCGAGTTGTCAGCTTCAGGATACCATCAGACACTCTCCGGACAGAGTGCATCGATTGAACTTCTTCGACGTTTGATCTGAACTACGATGTTTCTTGAGATTTCCTTTGCCCATAAACGTTCGTCCATAACTCCGCTAAAACTAAGTTCGTCCATAAACTAAACACTAGGTCTCCAGAATCAAAAATACCTATTCGTATGTGAAAATTAAGAAAGGGTCATGAATTTTACAACACGCCAGACCACGTGGTTCACTGATTTTTGTCAGTAATTATTTTTAGAATTTTTAGAATTTCGTTGTATGACGAGGAGTATCGATTTATATTCACGATGCGAGAACTGTAATGACAATTTCAAATAGTGAAGAATAATTGGTTCATGGCAATGGAAAATTGTGCATTTCACGTTTGTCATATAATAGACAAAATATTGATTTAATTGGCGCTTTTTTCCAAATATGCAGGTTATTCTGCAAGATGTGCATTCTACACGCAAAAAGCCGTTGAAAACGTGAAATAAAATTTTCTCACATGAAGCTTTATTTTCGAGAAAATTGGCTTTAAATATTTAAGCGGTGAGGTCGCTAACCGCACATCTGCCGCTCAAATATTTGAAGTGAATTTTCTCAAAAATGAGAACTCGTATGAAAAAATTTTATTCCACATTTTCGATTCACTTTTTCGCGTAGAATCGATCCCTGTACGTTTATATTATAAATTATCGCACACCGCTTCACGGATAAATTTTTTAAACTAATTATACATTCTGCTTCGAATATACTGCATTTCTATACTGCATATAGACTTCCATAATTTTCAAGATTCATAGTAAAGTTATTTAAAACTATAATAATTCATAAACCGAAGAGACAGAAGAATAATTCTGCACGGTTGAATTTTCGCAATCGCATAATTTCTATATTTTTTACCGCGAGTCAGGTCCAGCTGAAATATCTTCAAAGAAACGTTCTCGCTGCGTTTTTTCCGAACAAAGAAATGAATTGTATACTAAGCTACGAAGAATTCTAAAGACAACCGCTCGTAACGAGATAAAAAGTTGCGGCATTTTATACGGATTCGAAACTGCGACCGTGGAATAGTTTCACGGATAACAAGATTAACTAGTTGCAGGGAATTTCTTTGTGCCCCGATAGCGACAATTTACTAGCCCGACAATTTAAATAGCGCGCGTATTTGATTGGAAAGATTAAATGTTCGATTACCATATTAACCCCTCTGTCATTTCGTGAAGTAACATTTATTACAGTCCACGCTAATTGCAGTATATTTCATCGTGACACCATATATGTATAATTTGTACGATTTAAAGCCTGTCCAATCCTATTGCAGGCATTAAATAACATGAGAAATTGTGCAAATGGCTTACGTCATCACGATCTAAAACGTGCGATGCGAGATCTTTATTAATTAACGTCGTTAATCTCGTTTCTGCAATTATTCGAACTTTTACACGGTTTCCAACATCAATCCTATGTTTTATCAAATTTCTCCGACACCTTTTTGTTGTAATGTGTTATTTATTATCGTGTTATTTTATTGCTTTATGTCCCATCGCAGGTTAACAAATGGCACTTGGAAATTTTGGTAAGCTTTCTCTTCCCTTTAATATAATTATTAATTTTCATTAAAATGTAATTGCCTTTATAAAGTATAGTATATATCTCCTCTATATTTGGATTTGCGGAAGGTTCGGGTTAACTTTTTCCCCTGAAATTCGATAAAATAACGTATTTTTAAAAAAAAATAAAAGTATGAATCATACTATTACCTTTATTATGAGATTTTTTCTGTAATATAAATATTAATATTTTTTAAAATACAATTGGTACTTTTAATTTTTGTAAAGTATAGTATATATAATTTTTCTATGTTTGGATTTGGATTAACATTTTGTCCCGAAATTTGATAAAATCACGAATTTTGAAAATAAAAGTTCGAATCATCCTATTACCTTCATTACGAGACATATTTAATGTTATGCAAAGATGTTATTTATTAAAGATGTATATTCACAAAGAAGATATAACATAGTAGCAAAAATTTATTTAACCCTTTTCATTCGACGATTTTTTGGATAAAGAAGAGTAGGAGTTCAAAGATTTTCTGCTATAAAGATAACGATATTTTTCTCAGCGGAAAATAAGAAATCGTATAATAATTGACACGTACAATTATTTGATTTCATTTCATTATCTTAAATTTGACATATTAATTAATATCCATTTTCGAAATTTTATTTAATGCTGTATCTCGAGTGCAAAGGGTTAGAAAATGGAGGCATAAAAAAAATTTGAAATTCAATTTTTGACACTCAAATTTCTTAAAATAGCAAATCCCTAGTACATATACTAAGTTAGTCTATTTTATAGTACATATACATATTTTATTGTATTTTATAGTACGTATGTATAGTATATATTCTAAAATCTATTTTCATTATGAAACATATCTGGTCAATCCAATAAACAAATAAATAAATAATACTATTAAATTTTCAACCTCACTCAATTGACCACGAGGTAATCGCTATGAGATAATGTTTTATAATAATATCATGCAAAATATATTATTTATAAAATATGATGAATTATCGTTTGTTGCAACGAAGAAATCTTAGGTGAGCAGAGTTCGTTGAACACCCTATATATAATCGAAATACGAGGTGTGTTTACTTCACAGATGTGATAATATCTACAACCACACGAAGTAAACTATCGCAACGAAAAATGGTAATTGTGTATCGTGTTCCAATTCTCCGATCATGCTGTTGTAAATACATGGGTTCCGCATCGAGGGCACTTGGAACAACCTAAACCACAGGCTAAGAGCATGTCGCTATTTCAACTTCAACTTTCCATAGCCTAATGAAATCAACTTCCGGTATACTTTATCGAGAAAGAGGTTACCCAGTCCATAATGATTTTTTGAACAGTCCGGCGTCTAAGATAAGCGTATTTATACCTAATCTCAAAGCTCAGATTCTTTCAGAAAGGATTATTTGAATAATAGGTAGAATGTAACACTAGATGTTGCTCCTGTAAAATTGAATTCGTCGCGTCTAAGTACATAACCTTAAAAAGATATGTATTTCTTTGCTTATTAATTTTTCTCTATTCCTTCTTTAAAGCTCAGATTCTTTCAGAAAGGATTATTTGAATAATAGGTAGAATGTAACACTAGATGTTGCTCCTGTAAAATTGAATTCGTCGCGTCTAAGTACATAACCTTAAAAAGATATGTATTTCTTTCATTATTAATTTTTCTGTATTCCTTTTTTAAAGCTCAGGTTCTTTCAGAAAGGATTATTTGAATAATGAGTGTACTGTAATACTAGATGTTGTCCCTGTAAAATTGAATTCGTCGTGTCTAAGTACATAACCTTAAAGAGATATGTATTTCTTTCAGTATTAATTTCCCACTATTCTTGTTTTTGAAGCCCAGATTCTTTCAGAAGGGATTATTTGGGCGAGTAGTGAGTGAAATGTGACACTAAATCGTGCTTTTGTAAAACTGGATTCATTGTATTTGAGTACATAACCTTAAAAAGATCTTCTTTTATTATTAATCTTTCCCTAAAAAAACCCTATTCTTTCTTTTCTTTTCTGTATAGATTGTTGTAATACTGTACATTTGTTTAAAATGAATGAAAATTTGCGTTATTATTATAATCAAAGTAAAAATTTAATTTTCTTCGCATCATTCATTGTATTAGGTCAGGTTATGATTAGGTTGTTTGATATAATGACAAACCAGGGATTTTATGATGCCTAGAGCACCTCTGGTGGAGGAAATAGGTATTACAGAAGTCTAGGATAATAAATAGTTATTATAAGTAAAAGTAACTAGACAGAATAACACCAAAAAACCAATTATATTATTTAAAATTAAAGAATGTCCAATTTTTTAAATACTTCCACTACTTCTAATTAAATTTATCTAAATTTTCATTAAAGTAAGTATAATAAAACCTCGTGTCCTATAAAAATTTCTTTTCACATTTCAATATACAGTTATTCATAATGTCACAAAGAAAACTAAAAAATATCATTTAATATACAATTGTATTCTAATATAAAATTCCCTATTTTAATAATAACACGAGTAAACAGTCCTTATACAGTTTTAACATACAGCTCCACAGTGTATGTTCCATAAAAATATCAAACTAATATACCATAATTATTTTTTGATGTCCAATTAGTATGAAAATTTTTCATTTTCTTTCTTACCTTTAATCAATCTTTTCCTAACACAGTTTTCAAGAATACATTATTCAATTATGTATGTACTACGCCTAAATTAAATGGCTATATAGATCACATGAAACTTACCTATACTTTTGTCAATAACAATATTTTGTAAATAAATTTTGTAAATAATAGAAAAAGAATTTTCCCACGGCCCAGAAAAATTCTCATTTGAAAGCATAAAAAACAACATAAAAAGCTCGTGACGAATAGGAAGTGTAGCATCCTTACCAAGAATGTCCAAACATCCGAGTTCCGATATCATAGGGCTGGTGTTAATCTGACACATGTAACAACCCTTATCCGACTCCTTTAACTGACGAATGTGAAGCCGCCACGTGCCGCTGACGGCTTCCTCCATGGCTTGGCTACTTCCTGTCACCCTGAAGGCGTTACCGGATACTGCGCCGGACCCGGAACTTCCGCCGGTCTCGTACGAGACCGCGATACGTGCATTGTGCGTTACCGTTCTCGTGTGGACCGAGAGAATCGTCTGGTCCGAGGCACGTAGCCAGCCAACCTGGAAAATCCATTGTCATTTCCCTACCCTTGTCATGTCAACGGCCAACTCGTTACCGCAACAGAAATTTCTGTGTAGTTCCTGGGATAACCTTAATGACCCTCCGATATACCCACGTGTCGTTTCTATCGAGTAACGTATTTCGCTACGAAGCTGTTTCCTTTTTCATTCTTTCACATGTTTTACTTACGATTAATACGAGATCGATGATATTTATGCTGTCACGAGCGAATAGGAAACGTTTGGTCGAATACGTTAAAGTGTGCACGGAGTTATTCGGACTGGAGCGTCAGGAGTGTGAAAGAAGAGTGATTGGACGGAGTACAATAATGTCTCAATAGGTGGCAGTTCGTAACTACTCTGTAACTGGCGGTCGCCTATCCCCACTCCACGCGCAGTCGATGTAGCGAAGAGAGGTGGAACTTATAGGTAAACATATCGCTTTATCGCCAGTTCAGGAACTTGGGATTCTTTTGCTAGAAAAATTTACATTGTCTAATTTCGAATTTTTTTTTGTGAAAGTATGATTAATATATTTGCCACATTTTTATGACAAAAATGACACCAAACAGTACAGAAAAATATTGTCAAACTAATTATATACAGGCTGATTCTACATGCAAAAACGAATTGGAAAAAGAAAGAATAAAATTTTTTGATTCGAAGTTTCATTTTCGAGAAAATCGACTTTGAATATTCACCGAGTGCGCGTGCACTTAGCTACGGCTTATACGAATAGACCGTCAATGCATAAATATCAATGGAACAATTGCGAAGGAGAGGGAGGGGGTGATTCTACGTGAAAAAAATAAATCGAAAATAAAGAATAAAATTTTTTCATTAGTAGCTTCGTTGTCGAGAAAATCGACTTTGAATATTCACCGAGTGCGCGTGCACTTAACTTTGGCTAACAAGGTGAATGGACCTCCAGTGGATATTCAAATTCGATTTTCTCAAAAACGAAGCTACGAATGAAAAAATTTTATTCTTTATTTTCGATTTGCCTTTTCATGTAAAATCACCCTGTCCTCGGTTGTACTACCGTTGTTGGGACACCCTGTATATATAATATTGTCTTCATCTCTTTTTCAACAGAATTATTATTTTGCACTATATATTTGTATCGTAAATTAATTAATTGAATAAATATAGTACCTCACACGGCAATATAAAAATTATTTAATCGTTAAGTACGGTTAATACAGAGAATTATATTTACGCGTGACATATAGGGTGTCCGTTGGTAACATAAAAGTTAAGTTAGGTTTTTCTGTACCATCAAACAGGTGATGGAAAAACACGAAAGCGAACACTTGAGTTGTTAAAGCCGAGAAACTCGATCCCTTTTGCGAATCCCGTACCTTCCGTAACGGATACCGTACGGTCACGAATACTACCACTTATGAAGACATCGGGTACCGCACCAGCGGTGCAGGGGGTGCGATGAGCGGACGGAATGCGATGACAGTCTAACAGGTATATACATCTTTCCTAACACGTTTGCACAAATGGAACGCGCAAATTTTCGACACTAATTGGTAGTGTTGTATTCATGTAGTGTTGTATTATAGTGTTGTATTCATAGTGCTGTATTCGTACAGTTTTGAGTCACATAACATCGCATAATGAGAACGAATATTCTATACTGAGACTGAACGAGATAGAGAGGTGCAAAGCAGCGGTGTAGACAAGGGATCAGCGTTGATCGTTAACGTAAGATAAAAAGCGCACAGATGGCGCACTAGTCTACTATTGTGACGGCGTGTGCCGCCAAGAATCTGAAAGTAGGGATTTCGGGAGCATCAAAGGTGGAGTCTCAGCGAGCAGAGTGTCACTCTTGCTCCTCTGCTGTCTCGCTAATCATCGTTTCTTCTTCGGGAAACGTTTTACTTATAATTACAATGGCGTCTGCTTTAACGTTCGCGATCCAGGATCGTATCTAGACGTTTATCTGACCCGGTGACTTTTGCGATTTAAATTGATGGGACTGTATATAACGAGTACGAGAAAGAGAGAGTGAGAGAGGGGAGAGAGAAAGAGAGGGAGAGACAGAGAGGGAAACAAACAAACAGACAGACAGAGAGCCGCGCATTAATAATACATTCGTATCAAAGGCACGCTACGAATCTAATTTCAGGGATTGGTGACGGTAGCAGCGGATGCCAAAGTGGGTAGAAATCTGTGGGTAGAATGGGATGCTTGTGTCGGTGATACAGTAGTTGCTAATGAGGCAACAGAAGCGTAAATGAAGGACATTTTGGCTAGTTACACGGGAATCCACGTTTGCCCATGATTTTAGGTGGATATGTCTGAACGTGTCTTAGGATTGGCTTTTAGATTGGATAAAAGTGAAGGAATAACAAAGACAAAAAAAATGTGCATGAAAGAAATATCTTATGTTGGTCACGTGACTCAGAAAATAAGCGAATTAAATGCCGCTCTTATCGTCAGAATAGTTAGTGAAAAATAAAAAGTGGTTTAAAGGGTTTTGAGAGCTGCCATAAGTAGATTGATCGTAGTTAAATATGTATATATGTAGCGAAATGAGTATTTCCATTTATTTGCTTCTCGTTGTTAACAGTGGTTCTCATCCTTTTTCCAGACGCGATTTTTATAATAATCACAGTCACATAATCTCTTTTATACGTTTGCATAAAAAGGCATTGGGATTCTGGTATATCTCAGTGATTTCAATAAGATTGAAATGTACAGTTGAGGTTATGTAACCAACTATAGAAATATACATGTAACCACTGAGTTTCAGTTTTGAAGTGTATACAAAAGTATTTTTAATATTATGTAATATATTCATTGAAATTTTGAGGTTAGTCTGACCAGTCTACTGATACTAATATCTGTATCCCTCTAGCGGCGAGAGTGCAGAAACTGTTAAGAAGCCCGAACCTAACCTAAAATTAATTCAAATCTGATACAAACTTTAACAAACATTCATAGTGTTAAGAATATCATTGTATCACAAAAAGCAAGATATAATGTTCTAACCTAAACCTAACATAAATTTATTTCAAATCAATTTCGAACTTAAAAAAGAATATATACAGTATTAAATATCTAGAATTAAACATTTTTTTGTATACATTTAGAAAACTAAAGCTCAGTAGCAATTATGTGTATAAAATAAAATTATTCAGAATGTTGGTCTTGATAATATATCACAAAATCATTGTAATCGGTGAGATATCCCATTTGCAGTAACTACTAAACCATTTTAATGTATTATCTATTCGAAGCCTGGTCGTTGAAACAGATGAGAGGACGAAACATGATCAATTAGTAAAAGTAGGTCAATTTTGACAGGTATGAATATTTTTTATTTTTCGCCTGTCCCAATTTTATGAAATTTATTCTACGTAAATATATAGATTTTTTAAATAGCACCAAAAAAAGTAAAGTAAAAAGGAGATTAACTGAAAATAAAAAAATATTTTATACGGAATTGACTAAAGTACAGAAATAAAGAAATCGTGAAATAGCTTTCGGTGCATAATAAAACAGCGAAAATAAAATCCCGATATTACCGTTTGTCAAAAATTTTCATCGAATAAAAACAACCGTGGGGAGTATCGCTGAAGTTATTTTTAAAAATAAAACTGGATCATTTATCGTCCCCACATAATCCTTTCTTCTTCTCCGCGAGTCTAACCTGCTAATAGAAAAATAACGAAAAGAGGGAAGAAAAATCGGAAATACAAAAATCAAATTAATTTCCGTCCATCTCGTTTATACCGTAATCCACTCATCCCCGAAGCATTCAATTTGAAGACAATATGAAAATAAAACAACGTTTATAAGTTTGGCTGGCATTTTCTCTCATAAAAGATCTCCGGAAACTATTTGGATCTGACTGGGGGCCGAGCTTATCTTAATCCATCCCTGCCTGCCAAGCTGCCTTGAGTGGCTTTCTATAGACCGAATATTTCATCTAGCTGGATACTTTACGGGTGGAATCTGTCGCCGGGGAAAATGTGTCTTCTCCGTCTCTACTTACTCCTCAATCCCGCCTAGTTCCACTTCTCTCTTCCTATCCCACTCTCGTTCCTACCCCCACACCGACTCCCACCATCCTTCTCCCCCTTCGAGCTCCGGCCGGTCCTCTCCCACTCGACGCGCACACACGTATTACCCCCTCCCTCCCTATACCGTCCTCTTCTTCACGCTCTCTGTGCCTCCGCGCTTCCCTTACACATTCATCCTTCTTCTTGGAATATATAGATCTCGATCGGAAACTTATTACTAAATATAGCTATCGTTGGAGGGAGGATAACTCTCGGTTGGATTAGGGAGCAAGCGAACTCGAGGCACGAGGTAGAATTTTTCGCAAAGCGTATACAAACGTGAAACTGGAATACCGATGCATTTTTTTTTTTTTTGTACATGACATGGAAGGGAATCGAGTCGATTCGAACGAGATCTGTTTCACTTTTATTCCGCGTGGTCATGGGAGTATTTGGCTATCGTATGAAGATCAAGTGATTGCTGATGTAGAGGAAATTGGAAGAGGGAGTGAGAGGGCGAGCGGGTTGAGAGAGAGGGAACTCTCGTCCTTGGTGATTTATTCCGTCGCGTGTTTGTCGTCTATTTGTCAGTTTTATATTTCTCACTGGCGTTTTTTGAAATTAGACGTTCTATTTTTTTCTTCCAAATTTTTTTCCAAATGAGATTCTATGTACAATTTTCGTAATTTTAATGCATATTGTTTTGCTTTATCCTGTTTCACTCGGAATAATAAGATATCGTTTATTATACAGGGTGTTCCAGCAACAGCAGTACAAACGGATAGGGGGTGATTCTACATGAAAAGACAAGTCGAAAATAAAAAATAAAATTTTTTCATTTAAAGCTTCGTTTTCGAGAAAATCGACTTTGAATATTCACCGAGTGCGCGTGCACTTTACTTCGGCTAACAAAGTAAATGGATCTCCAGTGGATATTTAAAGTCGATTTTCTCGAAAATGAAGCTTCGAATGAAAAAATTTTATTCTTCATTTTCGATTTGCTTTTTCATGTAGAATGACTCCCTCCTCGATTGTACCACCGATACCCATGTATTAATGGTCTATACATATAAACCGAAGTGCACGTATAATCGGTGAGTATTCAAAGTTGATTTTCTCGAAAAAGAAGCATCGAATGAAAAAATTCTATTTTTTATTTTTTCGATTCGTTCCTGCACGTAGAATCATCCCATTCCCGGTTGTACCATCGTTGCTGGGATACCCTATATAATCGATATCGATATCCTGTTATCTTGCTATTTTTGAGTCATTTATAAAATTGTAATGTATTGTGAAGTGGAAAATGAAGAGTTTTTATTAAAATAATATTAAAATAATATTAATAATAATATTAATATTAAAACTTAAAAGACACCATATATTTTGTGGTAATTAGTTGCTGACTGGCAATTTTTAATTGCTCATAAGTATGGAGGAATAAAAATAATGACGTGTGCAGACTTACTGAATATTTGTAGTTGATGAACTTCTGTGAGATATGGACTCACAATATACAGAAATATACAAAATTATTATAGGAAATATAGATATTTCCTTAATATTATACAAATACAAATAATTAAATGTTTATGTATAAAAAATGTGTGAACGGTTTGTAGGTTATGTACAGGTTAGCGTGACTTCAGCATTAGCTGTTATGTCACGTGATCAATTAAACAAGATGGCTGTCTGTCCTATTGATGAGGTGTATTATGTAACAAAATTAGTGAAAGCAGTGGATTACCATATTAATATTTGACATGTAACTAATACAAATTTGGATATTTTTTATGAGACGCGTGTAAAGTATTTATTACTTTAAAATATTTAATATATATATGTAATAATTCAGTTTCTATAAAATGTTTGAACTGTTTATCAATTTTATATTATATTTTATAGTACTTATTAATTATTGAGCAGTACATACTTAGGCATCCAAGATAATGTACATAAGCAATGTCTGTAAATGTGAACATGCCTTAATGATTAAAAGATACCTTGAAGACCACTATAGTTGTTAAATTGATTGGTTAAAATTAATTAATTGCTTTCTTTACTTTACGGTATAAAATAACTATAAAAATTATAGTTTCATTTACAGAGTAGAGTAAACAAATGTAAAATTATAATTAGAAATTAAATACGTATGTACTTAAATTTCACCAATGAAGAATGAAAGTTAATTAAAGTTTTAATTAGATTTTGTCTGTCAAAAAGGAAAAATGTTTACAAGTGTATGTATAGATTAGACTGGAAGTATTATATTAGTCTTACAATGTTTTATGAGTGTACATATTTATGAAATGTCTGAGTGTCGTTCCAATTAGTGAAGCATTATCGTGAATTAATGAGAATTTATTCATATTCAATTACCTTATATTTTCCAATGTTGCGAACACTGCAGGAGAAAACGACTTCACGACCAATTGCAGCCGTTTGATTTCCAACTGGAGCGATAAATACAGGACCTGTAGCACTGCTTGAATCTGGAATAATAAGCGGTATTTCCAAATGAATATCTTTTCTCATAATTTACATGTGATTTGTTTATAAAATTTGTTTATGCAATGATACAGTAAATTTATAGTTTTTTTTATACATAAAATATCTTAAAACAAAGAATTTTAATTTAATTTAATTTTAAAATTGAATACAGTAAATTTGGAATTTATTATACATGAAATATCTTAAAATAGAAAATTTTAATTTAATTTAATTTTAAAATTAAATACAGTCGGTTTATAATTTTTTTATACATAAAATATTTTAAAATAAAAAATTTTAATTTAATTCAATTTTAAAATTAAATACAGTAAATTTAGAACCATTTTATACATAAAATATCTTAAAATAAAAAATTTGTATTTAATTTACTTTTAAAATATCTTAATATATTAAAAAAAATTAATATAAATATACGGATAGCAACATAATTAATTTTTTAATTAATAGTATAGTTTTGATATTACTAATAAATTATATAATTCTAATAAAAAATATAATTCTTTTATTATTTAAATGATGTTTCGAAATCACACATGCTATCGTGAAAAAAATGTTGTTATTTTTCACTTTCGCGAATTCAATATATCGAAAAATTAAACAGATGAAAATTTTTAACAACCAATTATCATTTACTATATTTAATCAATTGGAAGACTGCTGCTTTAATATTGTTAATTATTTTCTCTATTTAATTTTGATAAATTTTTCGCCTCGCATTTGCAATTCCCATTTTCATTTTCTATTTCATCTATGTATATTATTTATTATTTGTCTTTAAATACGAGAAACGAGCATTTTCCGTAAATATTTTTCAAATTTGAGATATGTATCGACCACTTTGGAATCGTGATATTATTTTAATAAAATTTTAATATAATTGGATTACATCCGTAAACATAAAAAAGCAAGTATAATTTCATTAATTCGTGTCATTGTCAGTTTTTGATCCATGTTGAAAACAAAACCAATAGGAAGCTTTTCAAAAGCATCAAAATGCTCTTCACCTTATTGTATTTGTGCATATTTGCACGAAATTTTAAAACAATAGAACGTTGAATGATGAAATAAAACGATAATAAATGATTGATTGCTCAATTGTTCCTTGCACTATTAAAATCAAAATATAAAATTCTAATACTAAAAAAAAAATTAAAAACAGCAATAAAATAATTTCGACAACAAAAATTAAATTATTGAAAAGAAAAGAAATTTTATTTCAATATTAAATTTAAATATTAAATATTTTTAAATAAGGTTCAATTTAATTTAAGAAAATTTTAAATAAAGAATTTAATAATTGTTAAGTAATAGTTTAATATTACTTAACTATTATTTTCTTTAATAATTTAATACTATCAAGTAGTTTAATAATATTATCTAATATAAATTAAATAAGTAAATAAAGGTTTTTATTTATTTATCAATGTACTATTGCATTCGACCATTACATTCGACATCGTGATGATATCAAGTAATGTATCTGTAACAATTATTGGATTCTAGTTCTAAAATCAATCACTTAATCTCTAACATTCCTTTTCCGCGAAAGCAAAGAAAATTCCGATTATAGAGGGTCGACTCTCGACTCTCGATTCTTCACTCCCAACTGCCTGGTGCACGTACCTTCCCCCTCCATATATCCTCGCACCTCCCCACTCCCTAATCTTCTGTTCCTTTCTACTATACGGCCATTCCTTAGAGACGTTCAAGAACGTCCACCCAAAACACTCTTCTTTCACGCCTTTAACACACTATACCATATATTCTTCATTTGCACACCTATCGTCTTACCAAACACTCTATGCTCGTTTCATATGGACTTTCTTTCTCATACTTGTATTACTGGATGCTACCCAAATATTGAATGTGAAATTTAAAGGAATTTTTTGTTGGTAACCAGTAACTTTATTAGTAACTTTTTTACTAGTAACTGATTAGTAACTAACAACTTACTACTTTATTTACTTAATTACTTATTACTTTAGTTTAAGAATGAACTTAAATACGATTATGTGAGCATTTTCAACCCCAATACAACTATACCAGTGTATCACTATATCTTAATCTTCCTGTTAAATATTTTTATGTGACTCCACATATTTGCCTGTGATGGTACTATAACCTAGAAATTCATAATGTAAAATGGTGCAAAATTTTAGTAGTGAATTAAACAGATCTTAAAAAAATATTTTATATAAATATATATACATATTGGATTGATTGTGAGATTTAAAAATAAAGTTAAATAAGAATTAATATGCAGAGACATAATAAAAATTTAATTGTATTCCATCTTCAAATTTTCATTAACCAATCCTTGGTATTTACTAGATTTGATTCAGTAGATATACCTTTTTAGTGTATAATAGTAACTTTTAGTAACTTTAGTAACTAAATATCGTATTAGTAACTTTTAAACGTATTTATTATTTATCGAGTTAAATATTTCATACGAATTTTTTAATATTTATCACATTCTACAAAAAATTTTTAATATTTATAATGATCATTAGATTTATTACCACAATTTTTTGAGGGTTATTATTGCAATATCTAAGACAAAATAGTTAACCTAAGTATAATTTTTACTATATTATATAGTTTGATAATATGCTTTTCATTTGACAATTTTGGTAATCACTTATTTCACGTTTCTTTGGATTGTTTAAATAATTATTGATAATAAATACACAATAAAGATAATACCTTTGTTATATATCTTTCACTTCAATTCATATTAACACTTTGCTTAACTCTGACGATTTTTTGACTAAAGAAGAGTAGGAGTTAAAATTTTCTGTATTTTCTGCCATAAAGCTGACGATATTTTTCCAGCAGTAAATAAGAAATCGTATAATAATTAACACGCAGAATTATTTAATTTCGATTCCTCGCACACCGTTAGATTATCTCAAATTCGATTTATTATTAATAAATCTTCGAAATTGGATTTAATGGTGACTAAAGGTCGCCTCTCGAGTGCAAAGAATTTAATTAATACTTCAAGAACTTCTGAAGGATATAATCAATATAATTAATTCCTTATAATTAATACTTCCGAAGGATAAGTCAGGAATTTTATACTAACAATTAACTGAAATTTATAATACTACTTAAAATAATTACGATAATCCATCATGCACGTAATAAAATACAGAGATCAGCTTACCCAAGCCTTTATACGCGATTCTCCTCGCAGGATTCGAAACCATAGTCGTTTACCGTGCGCAGATAAGAAGTTGGCTAAAGTAAGGAATGCGGGTCTGATTGGAATACTATAATAAGCTTGGCTCCTCTGACATAATCGCTCACGAATTTTCCTTAACTGGTCGAAATGCTCGCGTCTACGAGTGGGATCGAACACTTATAGCCAAGAGAGCTTCAGGACCCATGAAGACCAAGTGAGACGAATTTTAAAGCGTTAGCGTCAGACACAGGCCAGGAGTATTAACCATTAACATAAAAGAAAAACCGTGACGTGACTTATCGTACCACTATTATGTCAGAGTGTACCGTCAAGATCCCAAAAGATGGGAACTTTCGGAGCCTCAAGAGTGGAGTCAGACAGAGGCTAACAGAGCTACCCGTCCTGTAGCGTTGGCTAACTTCTCATCTCTGCACGGCACATCAGCAGTCTACAAGGTACCCTGCTTTTGCAGCAAGGCATACATTAGCGAAACTCCAAGGATCCTGAGCACGAGACTCAAAGAGCATGAAACGTACGCTACATTGGGTTACGTACAATCGACTGTAACAGGATACCAGGAGACCATAGGACGAGAGTATAATAAGGATACAAGTGAATGTTGGAGGGAGATACTATCGGTTCAGTATCACTTGAGTTCTTTTCTTTCTTCAATTTTTCACGTGTACAGTAGAAAGTTGTGGGCTAGAGATTAAAACTATGACTGATACAGGGTGATTCATACGTGAAGAATACAAATGAACATTACAGGGAGACACTATCGCTTCAGTACCACTTGAATTTTCCTGTTTCTTCGATTTTTCAGGTGTACAGTTTACCAGTTGAAGGTTGTGGGTCGGTGATTATAACCATGACTGATACAGAGTGATTCATAAGTGAAGAATAGGACAGAATATTAAAGGGAGACATTATCAGTTCAGTACCACTTAGGTTCTTCCATTTATTCAATTCTTCACGTGTACAGTTGAAAATTATGGATCAGTGATTATAACCATGACTGATACAGAGTGATAAAGCGAAACGAAGAGCAACGCGATAAGTACTTATACCCTCACAGCTTAAGTCCTATGAGTAGAAGAGCTTTATAAGTAGTAACTTGCACTAGCAGCTAAATTTCTCAATAATGCTCTACTATCAATTGATCACCATGATATTTAACACTTTGACGTGTAAACGTTTTAAAACAGCCTTAAAGCGACTTCCCATTTAACTCACTAGCGCCACCACGGCCCATATCTCCAACAAATATAACGTAACTACTGTATACATCGTAGAAATATTTTGTAATTTTACTGACATAATCTTGCAATTTTCTTCTTACTGGCATATCGTTTGCATTATACTGTTAACATACATTTTTCTACTCTTACTGTGAAAGTGTTAAGTTGATTCTAATAGTTTATGATTAAAAGTTTATCGACGTGACACGAAAAATTTATTAATCTCAAAGAAACTTTTGAAAATGTTTCAAGCATCTTTATATTTCATTTTCGAATATAAATAGAAAATTTTTTTTCACTGGTCTAATTTAAGAATTCTAGTAATAATCTGCATTTTGAAAAATTCTACATTCTTACTTAAAAATATAACAGTTGATGCTTATTATATATCAAGCATACCACAAAGCAGTTTCTCTTCCTTTTTAAGTTCATTTAATAATAATGTTATGCAAGATAAATCTTTCACGAATAGGTGAGAAAATGTTATCAAACGATAGGTATGATACACGAGGTCTTATATTGGACGTACTAGGACGTGAACTGATGGTATAAACAT